GAACAGCAGTGCTCCTCAGCCTGCGGCAGGGAACAGCGCTGCTCCTCAGCGTGCTGCATTGAGCGGTCCTCTGCAAACGCTCGTCGAGCACGTGAAGCAGTTCGGCCGGATACCGAAGCGAAATATTACTTAGCAGCGAAGACTGATAGGTTTCTAGTGGGGTCAAAGGAGAGAGGATCATGACTCCCCACGGGGGTCTTGGCAGATGCCGGACGGGTGCCGCGGGAATCCGGGGACTCCTTTTTAAGCCAACAATAACGCACTTCGTGGAACTCCATTCCTGGGCACGATTTTGAATGCCCGGAGCCAACTGTAAGCCACTTCGTGTTCTTCGAGTTCCCAGAACTCCATTCCTGGGCATAGTTTTGAATGCCCGGAGCCAACCGTAGGCCACTTCGTGGTCTTCGAGTTCCCAGAAGTCCATTCCTGGGCATGATTTTGAATGCCCGGAGCCAACTGTAGGCCACTTCGTGGTCTTCGAGTTCCCAGAACGCCATTCCTGGGCATGATTTTGAATGCCCGGAGCCAACTGCAGGCCACTTCGTGTTTTTCGAGTTCCCAGAACTCCATTCCCGGGCAACATTTTGAATGCTGAGGCAGGCTGAGGCTGAGGCTGAGGCAGGCTGGCTGAGGCAGGCTGAGGCTGAGGCCGAGGCTGAAGGCAGACTGAGGCTGAGGCTGAAGCAGGCTGAGGCTGAGGCTGAGGCAGGCTGAGGCTGAGGCTGAGGCAGGCTGATGCTGAGGCGGGCTGAGGCTGAGGCTGAGGCTGATGCAGGCTGAGGCTGAGGCAGGCTGAGGCTGAGGCCGAGGCTGAAGGCACTGAGGCTGAGGCTGAGGCTGAAGCAGGCTGAGGCTGAGGCTGAGGCAGGCTGGCTGAGGCTGAGGCTGAGGCTGAGGCAGGGTGAGGCTGAGGCAGCCTGAGGCTGAGGCCGAGGCTGAAGGCAGACTGAGGCTGAGGTTGAAGCAGGCTGAGGCTGAGGCAGAGGCAGGCTGTGGCTGAGGCTGAGGCAGGCTGATGCTGAGGCAGGCTGAGGCTGAGGCTGAGGCTGATGCAGGCTGAGGCTGAGGCAGGCTGAGGCTGAGGCCGAGGCTGAAGGCATATTGAGGCTGAGGCTGAAGCAGGCTGAGGCTGAGGCTGAGGCAGGCTGAGGCTGAGGCAGGCTGAGGCTGAGGCTGAGGCAGGCTGAGGCTGAGGCTGTGACTGCGACTGCCGTCGCCACTGCGACTGTCATCGCGAATGCGATTACGACTGCGAGAACAGCAGAATTCTACAACTGGATTCTCATCTGAAACTTAAGGGGAATGCTTCCAAATATGCTCCTACACATCTCTGTTAGGTTGCTTTGCCGGGATAATCTTTTCATTTCTAAGTGTGCTATCCTGGGCCTCTTCCTGGCCACTAGGGGGCCAGGAATGATTAGAAGGACATCGACAGCGCTAGCCCCAGAGATCCGACGTCGGGATTTTTCCATACGGGGCCCCTGGAGGTCTCGACCCCTTCCCCAGGGCCGGTTTTCATCCCGAGTCGTCGTTTGACGGCCCTGGGGCCTGGCGAGGGCCCCGGTCCCTTTTTGGGGTCGAAGATTACGAAAGACCTGCGTCTTGATTTCTTCAATGCGTCGGATCTCTGGGACTCCTGCCTCGCTTCCGCCGTCGCAGGCCTCCCCGGGAGGCCCTCGTCGCCTTCGGGCCAGATCCGCCCCGAAAACGCGTGGTCAGAACGCATCCCCGGGCGAGGCCTGGGGAGCAGCCGCCTCGAAACCCCGTCGCCTCCCACAGGCGCGCCGTCGGGCACGGTGACGGCGGCCGCGCCGCCGCCGCCCTCGGCCCCTGAGCCTGGCGCGCCCCCGGGGCCGGAGGCGAGGCACGCGCAGCCGCCGCCGCCGCCCTCGGCCGCCCTCCCTGCCGCGGGCGGCAGCCGGGCACCCGGCGCGCCCCTGGGGCCGGAGGGCCTGGCCGAGGGGCTGCCGGCGGCAGCGGCGGAGGTGGCGGTGCCCGCGCCGCCGCCGCCCTCGGCCGCCCTCCCTGCCGCGGGCGGCAGCCGGGCACCCGGCGCGCCCCTGGGGCCGGAGGGCCTGGCCGAGGGGCTGCCGGCGGCAGCGGCGGAGGTGGCGGTGCCCGCGCCGCCGCCGCCCTCGGCCGCCCTCCCTGCCGCGGGCGGCAGCCGGGCACCCGGCGCGCCCCTGGGGCCGGAGGGCCTGGCCGACGGGCTGCCGGCGGCAGCGGCGGAGGTGGCGGTGCCCGCGTCGCCGCCGTCCTCGGCCGCCCTCCCTGCCGCGGGCGGCAGCCGGGCACCCGGCGCGCCCCTGGGGCCGGAGGGCCTGGCCGACGGGCTGCCGGCGGCAGCGGCGGAGGAGGTGGCGGTGCCCGCGCCGCCGCCGTCCTCGGCCGCCCCGCCCGGCGCACTCTCGGGGCCGGATGCGGGGCGCGTGCAGCCGCCGCCCGCAGGCGCCAAGCCAGTGGAGGTGAGCGTGGCACCAGGCTCGGGGGAGAAAGCTTACCGCGGGTTCGCGTCGCGTCGACCGGCGGCGACCCGGCCACGGGCATTCAAGGTTGAAGGCTGCCAGTGGCCCAGAGTCGGCCCATGCATGGAACGATCGGGCGATCGAAAAACCGCCGATCGTTCAAGGTTGAACGATCCACGCGGTTTCAGAAACCAACGCCGGGGTCGTCACGACACGAGCTTGCCGTATGCGTGGGTATCGAAGACACCTACGGCGAGTCACCACCGCCCCCTGCCTTTTTGGGATAAACCTATGTGACAGAACGTTCGGGCAAGGTTTGGTCACGCTATTGGACCATGCATTTCCCCAGCCGTTGTGGAAGTCATTCGGCATTCGGGGAACACGTGGGGGAAGAAGAGGATGATGAGGAGAGGGAGGAAAAGGGAGGATGAGGAGAAGGATGAGGATACCTTTGGGGAGCTTCTTGGGTCATTCTTGGAGCCTCCTGGGATCTCCCTGGGAGCCTCAGGGAGGCCTCTTGGGTTGCCTTCTTGGGCCTCCTGGGGGTCTTCGGGGGCTTCTTCGGGGCCTCTTTGGCCGTCTTACACCGTTCCTGGCCCGTCGGGCGCCGTCTGACGCCGTCTTGGGTGCCTCTCTGAGCCGTCTTAGGGCCCCTTGGGGCGCTCCAGGGCCGTTTTAGAGTCTGTGAGACCGTGTTGGGGCTCTCTTGGGGCCGTCTTGGGAGGCTTGTGGGCCGCCCTGAGGCCCTCTTGGGCCGTCTTGGAAGCCTCTTGGACGATCTTAGGGCCATCTTGGGGGCCTCGTGGGCCGACCTGGGCTGTCGACAGGGCGAAGAGGAGCGAATGCCCAAGTCGTGAAAAACATAAGCACAAACACTGATTTTGGCTCCTTCGAGCCGTCCCGGAAGGTGACTTGGAGGCTTCTTGTGCTGTCTTGGAGGCCTCTCGTGGCCCTCTTGGGCCATCTGAGGTCATCTTAGGTGCGTCTTGGGCCGTCTTGGAGACATCTTGCGGCCATCTTGGGCTCTTTTGGACCATCTTGGCAGTCTTGGAGGCTGTCCTGGGCGTCTTGGAGGTCTCTTGGTCCGTCTTTGGGCCCGCTTGTGGCCGTGTTGGTCATCTCTTGGGCCAGGATGGGGCCATCTTGGAAGCCTCTTGGGGCGATCTTGGGAGCCATCTTGGGCCGACGGAAGGCCGACACGGAGTAAAAGCCAAACACCTTCGACAGCCGTTTGACAATGAATGATTTTCGCTCCTCCAGGCTTTCCTGTATGTCATCTTGGAGGAATTTGGAGGCCTTTTGGACCACCCTGGAGGCCTTTTGGGAGCTTCTTCGGCCGTCCTGGGCCATCTGGAGGCCATCTTAAGCCGTCTTGGGTGCATCTTGGGTCATCTTGGAGGCGGCTTGCGGCAGTCTTGGGCTCTTTTGGGGGCATTTGGGCCGTCTTGGAGGCCACCTTGACCGTGTAGGAGGCCTCTTGGACCGTCTTGGGGCCGTCTTGGGGGCTTCTCGAGCCGTCATGGGGCCATCTTGGAGGCCTCTGCGGCCATCTCGGGGCGATCTTCGGGGTTTGTTGGGCCGTCGGAAGGCCGAAAAATAGCAAAAGCCAGCGGCCTTCAAAAACCAAAGACTAATAAAGGGTTATGACCTTTTCGACCATTCCTGAGTACCCTTCTGGATCTTAGAGGCCTCTTGGGCCGTCTTGGAGGCCTCCTGTGGGGGGGGGGGGCGTCTTTGGCCATATTGAGGCAATCTTCGGCCGTTTGGAGTACATCTTGGGCCGTCTTGGCCACATGTTGCATCATTTGTAGGCCATCTTGGGCTCTCTCGTGGCCTTCTTGGCCGTCTTTGAGGCGTCTTGGGGCCATCTTGGAGGCCATCTTGGGCCACCTCAGCCGTGTTGGAGGCGAGTTGGCCAACGAGGGGGGGATTGTGAGGAGCTTTACGGGTGGCCGGCGGGCTGGGCCGAGACCCGCACGAGGAGTTCTGTAGAAAAGCCAAAAACCTGCCAGGCATTCGGCACGCCGTGCGCCCCTCTGGCAAGACCACGTGGGGCAGCGGATCGAAGACGACGGCGAATCACCGCCGCCCCCTTCTTTTTGGAATCGCCTATGTGGCCGAGCGTTGTGGCAAGAGCTCTGCCAAGCTATCGTGTCATGTGGTCCTCCAGCCGTTGTAGAAACCCTTCGGGGAACACTTGGGGGAGGATGGCGGGGAAGATCAGGAGGAAGAGGAGGAGGAGGAGGAGGAGGAGGAGGAGGAGGAGGAGGAGGAGGAGGAGGAGGAGGAGGAGGAGGATGAGGAGGAGGAGGAGGAGGAGGAGGAGAAGGAGGAGGGTGCACTCTTGGGGCCTCGTGGGAGCTTCCTGCGAGCCTCTTGGTGGCAAATTGGGGGCCTTTTGGGCCTTTTGGGGGTCTTTGGGGGCTTCTCGGGGGCCTCTCTGGCTGTCTTGGTGGCTTCCTGGCCCGTCTGACGCCGTCGGAAACCATCTTGGGGGCCTCTCTTGGCCAACTTGGGGCCCTCTTGGGGTGCTCAAGGGTTGTCTTGGAGGCCGTCTTGGGCGTCTTCGAGGCCTCTTCGGCCGTCTTGGGGCCCTCTTGGGCCGTCTTGGGGGCCTCTTGGGCCGTTCTGGCGCCATCTTGGAGGCCTCTTGGGCGATCTTGGGGCGATCTTGGGGCTCTTGGGCCGCCTCGGGGCCCTCTTGGGGCAGTCTTTTTTTGGGCTTCTTGGGCCGTTCTGGGGCTTTCTTGGAGGCCTCTTAGGCGATCTTGGGGCGATCTGGGGGGGGCTCTTGGGCCGTCTCGGGCCGTCGGAAGGCCGACAGAATCAAATGCCAAAGTCCTGAAAAATCTTGGGGCGACCAATGATTTTTGCCTCTGCAGGCTTTCTTGGAGGCCCTCTTGGAGGCCTCTGAGGCTGTCTTTGAGACCTCTTGGGGGCCTCTTGGGCCATCTTAGAGCCATCTTGGGCCGTCTTGGTGGCTTCCTGGCCCGTCTGACGCCGTCGGAAGCCGTCTTTGGGGCCTCTCTTGGTCGGCTTGGGGCCCTCTTGGGGTGCTCAAGGGTCGTCTTGGAGGCCGTCTTGGGCGTCTTCGAGGCCTCTTCGGCCGTCTTGGGGCCCTCTTGGGCCGTCTTAGGGTTTCTTGGACCGTTTTGGTTCTGGGGCCATCTTGGAGGCCTCTTGGGCGACCTTGGGGCGATCTTTGGGGACTGTTGGGCCTTCTCAGGCCGTCGGAAGGCCGAAAAGAAGCAAATGCCAGAATCCTTCAAAAACATAAGGAAATCAATGATGTTGGCCCCTTCGGGCCCTCCTGGAGGACGTCTTGGAGGCCTCTTGGGCGCCTTTGGGTCTATCTTGGGCCATGTTGGAGGTTTCTTGGGCGGACTTGGAGGCATCTTGGACCCTCTTGGAAGCCATCTTGGACCATCTTTGGCGAACTTGGGGACCATCTCGTGCCACCAGAGCTGTCTGAGAAGCCATTTTGGACCATCTTGGAGCGAGCAAGGCATTGACAGGTACACTTTCGGCGGCTTTCCGGTCCCTTCTGGCTGGCCGGCGGGACAGGGGGAGTTTTTTTGGGTAAAGGAAGCAAAGCCAAAACTGTAGGGTTCAGCACGCCGGGCACCCCTGTGATGAGTCAACAGGGGGCGGCAGATCTAGAGGCCTTCGGCCCATCGCGCCACCGTGCCTGGGTTGGGGGCTAAAGTTCTCTTGGCCGCATCTAGGTTTCTTGGGATGCCTCTAGGGGACTCTTGGGATGACTCTAAGCGGCCCTTGGGAGGCTTTGGGGGGCCTCTTGGGGGTCTCTTGGGAGCCTCTTGGGGGCCTTTTAGGGGCCTTTTGGGGGCCTCTGGGGGGACTCTGGGGAGCCTCTTGGGGGCCTCTTGGTGCCTCTTCGAGGCTTCGTAAGGCCTCTTGGGTGCCTCGGGTGGTCTCTTTAGGTCCTCCTGCGGGTCTCGGGGGCGATCCCGGCACTGGAGAGCTCTCGGGGCCACTTGGTGTTCCTTCCCTGGGGGCGACAGCATCGAGCACTACGAGTATCTGACTTTGCGCTTCGGGAGAATTCGCGCGACAACCCTCAGGAGCGCCAGTATATGGAGTATTTGCGGTACTAAACTTACGTCGGGCATGTCCCTTAACAGGAGGAGTATTCAAAAATGCCCCCCCCCCAAAAAAGAGTCAGGGAACGATGTTTTGCATGTTTTTGTGTATGGTAAAATGTTATTGGATTATTTTCATGTTTCTTCCAAAATCCGCCTGCAGAAGGACATGCCCGAGCTAAATGTTAAGCGCAGAGAGCTCGAGGGGACCTGAGGACACTACACCCAGTGCCCCGGGGCACGGTGGCAGCTCTGATGTCTGAGGCACGTTCTCCCTTCCCCCGCCGCCTCCTCCTCCTCCTCCTCCTCCTCCTCGTCGTCGTCCTCCTCCTCCTCCTCCTCCTCCTCGTCGTCCTCCTCCTCCTGGACCCCCATTGGCGCAGCCAGCCTTTGCGCCGTGAGCTTCCCCTGCGGCAGGTGCGCCCCGGAGTCCGGATGGGCAGCCGCGAGAGCCGCCGCGGCTGCCCTACCACGCGGACGAGGGCCTCCTGCCGCTCCCCGACGGCGTGCTTGACGCGGCGCTGGCGAGGACTCCCGGGGACAGGACCGGAGTGCGCGAGGTTCAAAGAAGAAGAAGAAGAAGAAGAAGAAGAAGAAGCTACGATAATGAATCATAACAATTATTAGGTTAATAACACACATCATAAATATTAGAATACTTATTCCAATATTATTACGAAGAAAGAAGATGAGGAGGAGAAGCAGGAGAAGGAGGAAGAAGGTCAGGAGGCATCTAATTGACAAATGATTAAGTAGTAACAACCATAACGCCATCCTAGGATCTGGGGACTTACACAGACACGGGTGTTCGGAGGTCCGCGCGAATGATTTGGGTCGGCGTTGGAATTGCCTTGCGGCGCCTCTGGCGTCGCCCCTGGCGCGCTTCAGCGGCGAGCGCCAATCCAGGAGATCCGCGCGGACCTTTTGGCAGTTTATGTGCTTGTGCAGTTCTGCCTGTTCCTCCAGAGGTTCTGGCTAAGCTGCAGGCGAACGGGTCCGTGAAGGTGCAGGTCCTCGGCGGGAGCCTGACGCTGGGGGGCCAGGACTGCCGCCAGGAGATGATGGGCCTGTTTTCCACCACCACCACCATCAATTGAGGGGGGAAGGAGGAGGAGGACGAGTAGGACGAAGAGGAGGAGGAGGAGGAGGAGGAGGAGGAGGAGGAGGAGGAGGAGGAGGAGGAGGAGGACCCCCTCCCCCTCCTACTTATGGTGGTGGGGGTGGAAAACAGGCCCACCCAGGAGAGGCTCGGCGCCACGTACCTCTCGCGGGACTGCGCCTGGCCCGCCCGGCTCCAGAGACGGTTGCGCGCAGGGTACCCGGGAGCCGCCGTGACCGTCGAGAACAGGGCGATCGGCGGCTGCGGAGCGCAGGGCAGGAAGAAGACCGCAGTCAGCGCGCCTGCGCGCCTTCACCCAGGGTGCCCTTGTGTCCTTGCCTCCGCGGCCCGTTCTTTGGCGATTTCACTGGTCGCCCACCGCCCCAACAAGTCCCAACCTCGGCCTCCTGGGGTCTTGCGTCCTTACCGCTCGTCCTTGATATACGTTTGGATTGTAATACCGCTATCCCGCCCTCGTTCTCACCTTCTGGGGCCTCCTGGGAGGACCCCGTCGCCGCGGCTGGATTCGCCTCGACATCCTGGTCAGAAAGCGCACCCAGTAAGAACGCACAGGGGAGTAGCCGTATCGGTATCTTTTGGGTCCCCCAGGAACAGCGTGCATTTTGCCACAGTTGTCCCTCCTCGAGGCTGGAGACTACACAGCGCCAGATCTGTTCATCATTGACCTTGCAGTGAACGACGTGCGGTTTGCGATGGACGAGGCCTTCGCTGGATCATTCGAGGCTCTCATTCGCATGATAGGCACTTTCGTGGACTTCGGCAGGATTCTTCTTCTCCAAACAGTGCCGTTCCATGAGGCGAGCATAACATGGCGCGAGGACAAGGACGTCATGATGCGAGCGTTTGAAAATCAGCAGCAGAAGTACGACAAACTTGCACGACAGTACCATATTCCAATTGTCAGCTGCTTCGATGCGACGCGCGAGTTCGCGTCGATGCTCAACGGAACACAGGAGTTCTGGGTGCCAGGCCGAAAATGGGAGCACCCCCAGTGGAAAACGCATGCGTACATCGCCGACCTGATTGTGCACCTGCTGAACTCGCAGGTGGGGCCAGCCAGCCGGATGGCGCCGGCCGCGCGCGAATGGCACAGGCCTGCTTCTCTGTTGGGAGACGCAGCGGATGCCAGTGCGTTCCCGCTGCTCCACAAGGAGCCAGCGGCGCTCACAAGGGGGCAATGCGAAGGAGGTGACTCTGACGTTTGGCGTTGGAAAGATAGCGTGCGATTCGTGCCGCAGGCCCCTTAATTGCACGGTATCCCCCCTCCTTGGGGATAGCGCGTGCCGAAGAAGCCCTGGCAAGGGGTGGCGCTTGCGCAGAGGGGGCCCTCGCGGGGGGGGTCACCTCGCAGGGGTAGTGTGATTTCTGGAGATCGGTCGGTGTTGCGCACTGTCTGCCCGGCGCCCACTGCAGAAGGCAGGGGCTCTCTCAGAGGGGCCCGGCGGCTTCCGAGAAGCCTCCTCGGAAGCCAGGAGGGCTTGGGAAGGAGGCCCCCGCCCTCCGAGGCCTCGCTCCTTGTCGCCTTGTGGCCGAGGCATTCGACGAGAGGTTTTTCTCAATCCGCGGTCCTCGGAGTCCCAACCCCATCACTGGGGCGTTTTTTTTTTTTTCATCCCGGAGCCGCTGCTGATGGCGTCGGGCCCGAAAATTGCATCGGGGCAGAATCCGCCGGTCGAAACAGATCACGTCGCCAGGAGGAGGAGGAGGAGGAGGAGGAGGAGGAGGAGGAGGAGGAGGAGGAGGAGGAGGAGGAGGAGGAGGAGGAGGGGGAGGAGGAGGAGGAGGAGGAGGAGGAGGAGGAGGAGGAGGAGGAGGAGGAGGAGGAGGAGGAGGAGGAGGAGGAGGAGAGAGATTTGGGACAGGAGACCGCCCTCGTGCTGGGCAGCCTCTGCCAGAAGCCGCTGTCGGCTCACAGGGCGGCCGCCGACTCCGGCTCCCGCCCAAGGCTCACCGCAGGGTGGAGCCTGCGCGAGGACCGGCCAGGCAAGCCAGGCTGGATTGCCGAGGCTTCGGCGCCCGAGTTCACCATCCGATGATCCACAGGACGTGTCATGGCGCCAACATCGCAGAGCGGATCTCGTTCGGACAACCACAGGGTGGGCCCGGAGTGTCCTGGAGAGTTTCGTTCTGGACTTCGAGGTGAATTTCGTGTGGATTTTTCCGCCCAGGAGCGAAGACCAAACAAACATCCACGCGAAATTCACTTCGTTTTTCGCTCGCCGCTTCGGGCAAAGATCCACGCAGAAATCCACGCAGAAATCCGCTGCAGCACGTCTGCACGGCTGGTGCAGTGAGACGTGTGTCAGCCCAGCGCGCGTTTGCCCCACTCGGCTCCACCGATTGCGCTGCCCGTGTGGCACTGATGGGCTTCTGCGGACGGGCACGCGTTGGCGCCAACACGTTCTGAGGGTCATCGAGCCATTCCCCTCGACGAGCCGCCGGCGAAGAGGAGTCTTCGCTTAAAGGTCGGCGACAACAAGACGGGCATCGCTGGCATCGTGATCGAGCATGTCAGGGGTGGCATCTTCGACGAGTGGAACAGGGGCAATCCCCTGCAGCACTGCGAGCAGGGCGACATCATCGTGGCGATCAACGGCGTGAGGAGTGACCCCGAGAAGATGCTGAGAGGCTTGCAGAACAAGCCTGTCAACATCACATGTCGGAAGAATCCCCGCCGCAAGCAGCCGCAGTCGCACTGGATCGAGTTTCCTGTCTCCTTCGGTGCCGCGCCGATCCTGTCTGTGTCGGTCCTGCGGTCGTATGAAGGTCTAGGCGAAGCTGATGTTCAGATGAATGGTTCCATGTACATGTTGCGTGGACTCTGGCAGCTGCACGAGTCCCAAACTTTTGCGTACAGTTTTATTGCGAACCACTCATATCCAGCTGCCTGCGGTGAACCCCGCCACCGTGCCAGCGCAGCAGTGCAGCAGAACTGTCTGAACCAGTTCCCTGTCCTGTCTGAACTGGCACGGGTCTTGATGATCCCCTCCTTGTCCGCAGACTCGTTCTCCCCTCTTCATTCCTTCCTCCCCCCCCTCCCCTCGCCCCTCCCCCCTCTTGAAGTTTAAGGCTTCTCAGGGACTTCTTGGGGCCTTCGTTGGGGCCTACTGTGGCCATCGTGGTTTTTTTTTCTGGGGGGCCTGTTGGGGGGCTTTGCATTTCCTCTACAAGCTTTGTTTGCTTGGGGGCACGCTGGGGCTTCCTGGCGGCGCGCCAGGAAGGAGTCCAGATTGGTGTGCTTTTTGAACGAAGTCGCGCGCGCCGATCCCCCAGCATGCCAGTGAAGTTCTCGGTTCAATTTCGAGAGATGGGCACCAGGGAAGAGTTCAGTGGTGAACAGGAAAGCGCAGTCCGCTATGTAAAGTCGCACACCAGCGCAGCGCGCAGTCTCACACAAAGTAGAGCACAAAAGACTGCATTCCAATAATTAGCTGTTGAACAGAGCGGAGCATAGTAATTCTTGAATTGGATAGCGGACGGTACACTAAACACAGCAGCACGACATACATAAACATGGGAGAACGTGCTATATGGGAAGGCCTTCCAAAGTGTTTCGGAAGCTTATCTTCAGCCTTCCAGGAACCACTCAGAAGCTTGTCGTAACGTCCGAATGTGCCTTGTCATCAGCCTGTCGGATGTCTCTCATAAGTGTCGCTGAATCTTTTCGGAGGCTTGTCGGAAGCTTCCAACAAGATGTTCAGAAGTTTCCAAGAAGCAATTCTTAAGCATCGCGGGAACCTCCGAGAGACTTTTCGGAAGCCTCCGAAAAGCCGTTCGGACGTCAAGCTTCTCGGAAGTCTCAAAGAAGCTTTCCCGAATACCCTCGGAAGCCTCCAAGAAGATTCTCGGAAGTTTCGAATTATCCTCCCAGAAGCTTCGCACCATCCTCCAATTGGTTTCTCGGAAGCATCAAGAAGCTTCTCGGACGCCGCCAAATCGCTTCTCCAAAACCTTCAAGAAGCTTCCCGAAGGTTCTCAAGACGCCTTTCGGAAACCTCCAAGAAACCCTTCAGAGGCTTCTCTCAGCAGCTTCTCAGAGACTCATCAGGATCCTCCAAGAAGCCTCGCGGAAGCCTCTCAGAAGCCTTCCGTAAGCCTCTCAGAAGCCTCTCAGATGCATCCAGGAAGCCTCCCGAAAGCATCTAGGAAGGCCCTCAGACGCAGAAGCCTCCGAGGAGCCTTTCGGACGCTTCCAACAGGATTCAACGAACTGCTCGGACGCCTTTCCTGAGCCTTTCAGAAGCCTCCTTTCGGAACCCTCCCAGCAGCTTCTCGAAAGCCTTCGAGAAGCCTGGCGTTCTGTCGAAATCCCATAGTAAGCCTCCAGCAACATCTCTTCATAAACCTCCAGGGAGCTTCTCGGAAGTCCCCAAGAAGCGTTTCGGAATACTGGATTATTATTTTGTTTCACAAGCCGCCCAGACGCCTTTCGGAAACTTCTACCGCACCTGAGAAATCCCCAACCAGTGGATTTTTGTTTTTTGTTCGCAGGTACCTTAACCGGCCTTCCGCCCGCCCTACAATCTGCTGGATTAAAAAGTGCGGACCAGAGAGGTCGCGAAAGATGTGCGACGATGATCCCGTTAGGCCCCAGGGCCCCAGTGCACAATGTTCCAGAGACCAGCCCAGGGATTATCTGGTCGCTCAGGAAGGCGACCAGAGAGTGTTTTTGGAGAAAGGATGGGGCGGGATCGATCGCGATTCTCCTGTTCCTCCATCCTCGCCTTTAATATTATAATCGCCAAATTGGGCGAGGACCAGAGAATCGCGATTACGTCCAATACTTCCTCAAAACAAACTCTCTGGTTGCTTTTCGGAGCAACCCGAGAATTTCTCTGGCAACCGGAGAATGGCGATTTCTCCCAGGACATCCTCGAAACAAATTCTCTTCGTCCCATTTTCAGTCACAGGAGAATGGCGATTTCGCTTGGGGCATCCTCAAAAACCATGATTGTGGACCCGATGCATGCGGGCAGAAAGTGACGATTTCGCTTGGGATTCCTCGCAACCGCGGGTATCGGCCCATCTGATGTTGCCAGAAAACTGAGATGCCGTGCCGGACCTCCGCGTTCAGTTCTCGCGTTCACGAGCGCGGCGACACTGCATCCATCAGTCTGCGCACGAGCAAACGCGGATATGAGTGAGTCTGACCATGCCGCTTGATGATGAATGGATCTGCGCGAGAGAGTGTCTGGGTGCGTCGAAGTCCTTTAACGAGATCCGCACTTTTGAATCCATCAGATGGTCGTTAGTCTTATTCGAATATACGTTCTAGCCGTGCTTCTCGTTCATCCACGCTCTCGCCTGGCATTGCGGACCATTTCCCCTCTGCCGCAGGTCTTTCTGCGGAGGCTCCTCGTTAGAGAGCCTCTTGGGGGCCTCACGAATGCCTTTCAAAGGCTTTGGGGACCTGTGATGCCTCCCAGGCGCCTTTTTGGGCCGCCTTGGAGGTTCTTACGAAGCCCGTGTGGGCCGTCTTGGGTCCCTCTTGGACCGTCCTGGGGCCTTCTTGGGGAGCTTGGGCCCTCTTGGGGACCTCCCATGGCCCTCGTGGGTCTTTCTTGGCCTCGTGAGCGACTTTTGGACAATCTTGGGGCAGTCTTGGGGTCCTCTTGGCCCGGCTCGAGGCCCTCGAAGCCCTCTTGGGGGCCTCTTGGGCCGCCCAGCGATCTCGTAGGCTTCTTGGCTGCCGTGGGGAGAGCCTCTCAGACCACTTCTGTGATCGCCTTGAGCTTGCTGGCAAGGTCCGGCAAGGCGCCCTGGAAGGCGCGGCGGGGCGGGGGGGCATCTTCCAAGGGAGTCCAGGGGGGCCCAGAGCTACAGGTCGAGGGGGTCTGGTTTTTGTTGTAGGGGCTTCCCAGCAGCCCGGGGAGTCCGAAATTCGTTCGGAGGGGGATGTGTGGGCCCTGTCTGGGGTCCCCGGCCTTATATCATTTTAGACTGGAATCTGGATCACTCCCTATACATGCGTGTTCATAAGAGATGTATATATGTACACATGTATGGTCTGTAAAACATTCATATATACAAGTATACATTTATGTACGCAAATACATATATCGATATATATATATATATATATGCACACATATATGCACCTACATACATACATGCATACATACATACAGACAGACAGACATACAGACATACATACACACATACATACATATATGTTCACTTGCATACAGACAGACAGACAGACAGACAGACAGACACGCACTTTCTTGTTATGTCTCTCTCTCTCTCTACATCTGAGGTTGGGGGGTGAGATCGCAGTGAGATGGAGACCCCCCCCCATGGGGAAATCGGTTTAGGATTCACATTCGTGTCGTGCGTGCGGGCAAGGCGAAGCTGCGTGGGCGGGCGAGAGGACTGAACCCGCCGTTGCCAAGGCGAAGCCGAACCAAACGTTGCTGTCCACCGGGTTGGCCAGCACTGGCCCTGTGGTGTCCCGATGGTGTCCCGATGGTGTCCCGATGGTGTCCCGATGGTGTCCCGATGGTGTTTTGTGGTGTCCCATGTTGTCCCGTGGTGTCCCGTGGCGCGGGGGTGTCCAGTGCTATGCTATATGCTATGCTATGTGATGTCAGCGATAGTTAGATCGATCGTGAGAACAAGAGTGAGATCCATTGAGTGAGATCGAACGAGAGATCGATCGTGAGATCAATAGTGAAATCGATAGTGAGGTCGGTAGTGAGGTCGATCGAGTCAGATCGATAGCGATGTCGATAGCAAGATCGATAATGAGACCGATAGTGATGACGATAAACTAACATCGGTAGTGAAATCGATCGTGAGATCGATCGTGTGTTCGATCGTGATATTGATTGCGTAAGATCGATTGAGTGAGATCGATAGTGAGATCGACAGTGAGTTCAATGGGGATATCAATAGTGATATCGGTAGTGAGGTCGATTGAGTGGCATCGATCGTGGGATCGATAGCGACATCGATGATGACATCGATCGTGATACCGATAGTGAGAGCGATCGTGATATCGATCGTGAGATCGTTCGTGAGATCGATCGTGAGACCGATTGTGAGATCGATCGTGTTATGGTGTGATCGACAGTGAGATCGGTAGTGAGATCGATAGGGAGATCGATAGTGAGATCTATAGTGAGATCGATAATGAGATCGATTGAGTGAGATGGATGGTGAGGTCGATCGTGAAAGGGATCGTGAGATCGACTGGGAACCTGGGAATCCGGGAACCAGAAACTCGAACCGCGGGAACCCCGCCGCCCACTGAACTCGGCCCGGAACCAGCAACCAAAGAACCGGGGAACCCGGAGCCGGGGAATCCGGAACCGAGGAACCCAGGAACCTGGCCGTTCATCGAAATCGGCCGGTAATTTTCGCCAAATTTTTCTTTCCATCTCCGCTAGGACCCCTTCAGTGCAAGCGCTGATTGGGAACAGAAAGCTTGTCAGAAGCCACCAAGAAGCCTCCAGGAAGCCATGCACTAGCTTGTCGTATGCCTCCAAGAAGCCCCCCGGAGACCTCCAATCAGCTGCTCGGCAGCCTGCAAGTTGCCTTTCGAAAGTCTCCCAGTAGCTTCCTTTATTGTCTTTCTGTGCAATGTTTCACAGAGCCGCCGGGGGAAAGCCACAGTTTGCCGGGAAACGTACTGTATTATCGCAGGGACCGGTCGGGGGTCTCGCGGTCGTGTTGGGCGCGATGGTTTCTTGAGCTTGTTAGAGGAATCTCGTCGGAACTATCTTGGAGACGCCTCGGCGGGTCTTGGGGCTGTGTTGGAGTCAGCCTGGGCCATCTTGGGAGATTCCCGGGCAGCCTTGTGGCCGTCCTGGGGCCCATTTGGGGCCGACTTGGAATCTTTTTAAGGGCTTCTAGGGGGCCCTGAAGCTTTCACGAGGCAGTCTGAAGCCCAAACGCTTGGGAAACCAGTAACTTCCAATTCGAACTGTTCATGATGAGTTGCCCCGTGAGGGCCTCTCTGGAGGGCCTCTCTGGAGGCCTTAAGGGCGTGGACATCTGGGGTGTCCCAGAAGCGGCTTCGAGGGAGGAGCCAGGAGCGGAACTAGGAGTGCCGATCTCTGGCAGGGGTGCGCGCTGCCACGTGTGGGCGCCGGGTCGCCCGATGAAGCCCTTTCAGGCAAGCAGCAATCGTTCTAGCGCTCCATTGTCGTGCAGGCAGGCAGAGGGCAACAGGGCGTGCAGGCAGGCTCCTCCTCGTCCTCCTCATGATGCTTGATTCCTCCCCTCCCCTCTCCCTCCTGCAACACTGTCGTGTAGGATCATTGCCGTGCAGGCAGGCAGAGGACCACCCCCCTGAACAGGGGGCAACCATTGTCGTGCAGGCACGGTGGCGGATCAGCATGTCCACCAGACGAAGGAAACCGACTGCAGCGGTAGAGAGGGGCGGAAGCCCTGCGGGTTTGGCATCTCCCCGTATTCCACGCACAACGTCAGCTTCAGATTGGCGACCGGTCCGAAGTTCAAGATCATCTCTGTCATCTCGTGCTGAGGGCGCGCCGAGGAGCGCGACGCACCCCTGCACTGCAGGAAGGCCGCCCTGGGTGCTATTTCGCAGCAGGCTGCGCGCCGCTTCGGAGGTCGGAATGTGCTTGTCGGAAGTGATTCCCGCGCGCTGCCAGGAGACAGCGCTGCGCAGCATCTCCACAAGACTCGTCAAACATACATTGACGGTTATTGTTTTCGGTGCTTGTGTAGTCGGCGCTACCCCAATGTTGGCATGACATGTTTGACCCAGACGCGGGGGTGTCCGAAATCTGGCAATCCCCTCACAGCACTGAGGGACGTGCTTTCTGACAAGTGCCCGAACTATCGAGCGGCACGAGTCTGAACGGCGTAGCAGTGGCTTTTTGACGAGGCCTGTGGTTACAGCCGATGCCGCGGCTTGAGAAGCTTCCCTCCTGGCGGGCCCCTATGGGGCCACGAAACGTGTGAGGGGTGTACCAAAAATGGGGCGGCGGCGCCATGCGAACTGCGCCACTGGGACCTTAGGTGGAACCCCATATGGGGCCACGAAACGTGTGAGGGGTGTACCGAAACAGTGACACGCGGAGAGCAAAGGCAAGGAGGGGGAGGAGGGAGGAAAAGGAGGAGGAGGAGGAGGAAGACGAGGAGGAGGAGGAGGAAGGAAGGAGGAAGGAGAACGCGGGGACCGTCTCTTCAAAACGAGGACCCAACACCACAAGATGGTTGGGACAAATAATGCTAAGACTGTTCGCTCTTACTTGCCCGATCTTGCCCGCGTGCAATTCAAAACGAGTTTCCCACACCCTCGATACCCGCCCTGTTTGTCTTCGATCACACCCCCTTTGGGGGGATTATTTCTCTTTGCGGGGGGCGGCGGCCTTAGACAGGCGGGCAAACCTGAACGGGCGGACACTCCTTCGTGGGCGTACATGTGCCCGCCATTGGAATTGGTGTGGGCCCTGCAAACACAGGAGGGGGAGAACGAGGCAGAGTGGGAGGAAGGGAGGGGAAGGGACGAAGGAAGAAGGAACACGCCAGGAGAGAAGGAGCGCAGAGGGGGGCGGTTGATTAGAGACAGAGAGAGAGAGAGAGAGAGAGAGAAAGAGAAAAGAGAGGTAGAGAAAGAGAGAGAGAGAGAGAGGGGAGAGAGAGAGAGAGAAAGAAAGAGGGAGGGGGTAGGCAGGAAAAGGGAGGGAAAAGGGAGGAGGGATATGAGGGAGAAGGGATAGGGCAGAGAGGCATAAGGATGAGGGAACAGAGGACAGAGAGAGAAGGGAGGAGAGGGATGAGGAGCTGGAAGGTAAGAGCGTGAACGTTCGAGGAAGTCCTAGGCGAAAGCGCCGTTCCTGAAGGAAGTCACGGGCGGGAGCCCACGACGGGCGGGCGATCCCCTGACGGGCGGGTCGGGCGGGTGGGACATTCAAGAGGGATGCCTGACCATGGCGAGAGCGCGGCTATTAAGTAAATTGTAACGGCGTCCTTGGCGCAGCGTGTGTCCTGAGCGTCGACAGCGCGATTTCTGAATACATTGCATGGAAGTCACAGGCGAGAGCGCAAACCCTGAATAAAATGTGAAGGGTTTTCTGGCGGGAGCGGGGGTCTTGATTAAATTGCGAGACAGTTTTGATTCACTTGCGAGGAAGTCTCGAGCCGGAGCGCCGTTCCTGAGTAATTTGTGAGGAAGTCTCAGATGGGAGCGGGGGTCCTGATTAAATTGCGAGGAAGTCACAGGCGGGAGCACCGATCCTGATTGAATTGTGAAGAAGTCTCAGGAGCGGGGGTCTTCAGTAAATTTGGAGGAATTCACAGGCGGGAGCCGTTGTTTGCTATAATCCGGGGGGCCAAAGGCCCAGAGAACAGGGTGCGAGCGTCGAAAGGCACATTTCAATTAAGAAAAACAGTATGCACCGGTGAGGGGGGATCAACAATAATTATCTTTCAGAAATGAGAATTCAAGTACAACAACAACGACAACAACAGCAACAACAACAATCACAACAATATCAACAACAACGTTAACAACAAGACCACCACCAACAACAACAACTCTTGCAGCAACCACAACAATAACGGCTCCCGCCTGAGCCTTCCTCACTCTTGATTCCAAAGTCACGTTCTCGCGCGAGACATCCTCATAATGTATGCAGGAATCGCGCTCTCGCGTGGGACGTCCTCGCAAACAACTCAGACGCCGCGCCCTCGGCACTCAGGTCTCGCTGTGGATTTCCTCATGATTTACTTGGGAGTCGCGCTACCGCTCGATATTTCCACGCGATTCATGCAGGACGCACGCTTGAACAACCCGCCTGCTCGACCTGGCCGCCTGGGCTCGCCTTCCCGGCCCACCGGTTAGGGGTTAGGGTCTACCCGACAGATCCGCCCGTCTGGTTCTGCCACGTGCTTTCTGCTCCTAGCCCCCCTTCTGCTACTCTCTCTCGTGCTCCATCCCCCTCCCTCCCCCTCGTCTCTTCCTTTCATCCGTCCTCTCTTCCCCTGCCGCAGTGGCTGCACGAAATACACGTTGCAGGCAAGAAAGATATACCTCCAAGGGGGTACGATCGAAGACGAAGAATGCGGGCACCGAGGATTGGGGATATACGTGTTGAGTGGCACGCGAGCAGATAAGAGCGGACGGTCTTAAATGATTGTTGTTGTCGTCGTCCTTGCCCACGATCCCCCGCGACACCCGCGACCCAGACCGCGACCCACCCCCGACCCACCTGCGACCCACCCGCTGCCCACCCACATTGCTTTGACGAAGATTCGGCGCCTGCGGCTGGCGCGTTGAGTAATGTGTGGCGCCTGCGGCGGGCTTCTTCAGAGCCTCGCAGACTGCCGACGACCCCGCAGTCCCCTCACGCTTATCCGCAATCGCGGGGGCTATGGGAAACAACGTGGTGAAAAGCCAGTGCTGGGGAATGGGTCGAGACTTTTGGTGGCCCGCACTGTGAGCCACGACGTCGGAGTCCTGGGCTCAGCGCGTCTCGTCCTCGGCGGACAAAAAGTCGGGGGCAGCCGGCGGAAGCCAGACGGCGGCGGCTCCGCCAGAGAAGGCCGGCGGAAGGCGGTGGACGCAGAACCAGCACAAGCTGTAGGCCGCCTCGCTCGTCCACGTGGGCCCTCGCAGCAGCTTCCACGCATCATGGCGCCGCGGCTGCGGTAGTCATATGCAGCGCCCTTCCCGAAAGCTTTCGGGCCTGACGCACCAGGGAGCAGTGCGTCCACAGCGAAGCAGAAGGTGCGCCCCCAAGAGGAGACGATGTTTTTCATCCCTTGGCGACGGCGATAACGGGCGTGACCGGGAGGGGGGAGGGGGGGAAGGAGCCGGTCACGTCACGGTTGGCGCCGGCGCCGTCTGGGAATGCCTAGGCATGGCTCATTCCCAGACGGCGCTGGCGCGAATCGTTACATGACCGGGGGGGGGACGTGGGGGTGGTGGGGCCGGTCACGGGCGGTGTAGCGAATAAAGAACAACATTGGTCTTCTAGCGCAGCCAACAAAAAGGGGCAGAGGGTGCGACCCCACGAGGTGTCAACGCTGTCGGGCTCGGGGCCTCCGGACCCCGCCACTTGTCAGGTGATCGCAAACATGGATTAGCGATCCATGGATTCGACGCGCGGTCGCCAAATCCAAGGGAAATCGCGGATTTCCGCCGCCGAACGAGGCGGCACCGGCCGCTTTTTGGGGAGGGCAATTCCCTGATCCATGGATTTGGCGACCGCGCTTCGAATCCATGGATCGCTAATCCATGTTTGCGCGCCCCCGCCACTTGGGCTCGAGGCCGCTCTCACGGCCACCCCGCGCCTCCCGACCGGAAGGCGGCCATGTCGTCCGCGCAGTTTGCGGCGTCAGGCGCCGCCTGGGCTGGGTGTGGCCCCAGCTGTGACGTCCCCGGCGCAGCCGGAACGCACCTTTGAGTCTCTGGCTTCCCAGACATCGCGTCGTAAAACAATCAGGACGGGAAGTTTTTACCAGTTTTCGGCTTCGGCGAGCCCTCGCCGGGCCTCGGGACCGTCAAACAACGATTCAGGACGAAGAACCGGTCACGGTGAGAGGGTCTGGACTTCCAGGGACCCCGCACTGAAAAAATCAGGACGTCGCAGCTCTGGGTGCGCAATTTTGTACACTGGGCGTTTTCGCCCTGTTTCGGGCCCTGGGGCCCTGACCGAGCGACCCGGCTCGAGAAATGCCGTGGAGGTTTGGGGTCCAGGGGTCCAGCCGGGATTCTCCACGATGTTGTATTTTTTCGCGTCATCGGAACTCAGAGTCTTCGCGCCTTATTTATTCCGCCGTACGCTTGTGGAGATATCCGCCCGACTTTCCGAGCCGCAAAAAATCGATACCAGGAGTGTCTGTGTGTTGTGCGCGTCTGCTGTAGTGAAAGCGCAACGCATCTGAGCTGGACCGTGCAATATTCGTGTCTATGCTTATGCAGCTTTCATATAGTGCCGTTCGAGTGCCGAACGGAAAATCGACGCGTGAAGCGTATATACGGATAACAAGCTTACGGCATGTCAATCAAATGTGACGTGTATGATAATGGACGCGCTTCTTATTTAACAATATCTACACATGGCGTTCTCCTTGAGTTTTCAACATATACTCATAACACTCGATAGAAGTTTGTTTCGGACATCTAGATACTGGAGGATTGGGCGCGCGCCGGATCCTTGGCCAGGCTAAACAATAGACACGAGGATCTGATCTAGTTCGTGGGTTCCGCAAGGTTTCCCAAAGTTCAGAAATCCCCTGGCATCCAAAGGAACTTTGAGGAATCTTAAGGGATTCAGGGGAATCCTGAGGAACCCGTGGAAGTCCTGGGGGATCGTAGGAATCCTAAGGAATCCTAAGGAATCCTTCGAAATAGTGACGAATCCTGAAGCATCCTGTAGAATCCGAAGGAATCCTGAGAATCTTGGAAAATCTCAAGGGGTGTTTTAGGAATCCTCAAAATAATCCCCAGCATTCCAGGGGATCCGCAGGAATCCTAAGGTATCCTGGGGGTCCAGCAGATCCTTCAGAAACCTTCAGAACTCTTGAGGGCCCCACATCAATTTGTGCTTAAAACGAATGTGCTCGGCGGCAATGGGAGAGCTACATGTTGAAAAGGAACCGCTCCCAGTCTGTGAAAGCCTTCTAAATGTTCAAAGCGAATGTGCGTGGCATGCGAGGGCCGCATTTTGGAAACCACCTGTCTTCAATCTGTTGGATCCGCAAATATGTTTGAAGCGAGCGTGCGCTGCGCAAAAGCGAGAGCTGCATTTTCAAAACCATCTGCCATCCATGCGTGAAACGGTTGCCAGTGTTGGAAGCCTCAGGCTCACACGTGGTCAGGAAGTCTCAGGCGAAATGTCCGGTCCGCCCTTCGGACTGGCCTCGGGGTGCGACAGGGAGGAGTTATTCAGAAGGAAAGGGATGGAGGAGGAGGAGGAGGAGGAGGAGGAGGAGAAGGAGGAGGAGGAGGAGGAGGAGAAGGAAGGAGGGAGAAGGGAGGAGAGAGGAGAAGGACTAGGCGGATGAGGACAAGGACTGGAAGAAGGGCGAACAGAAAGGCCAGAGACCTCCTGGATGTTTCTCAGAGTCTCTTCGGATGTCTCTCGAGAGCTTCTTGTGGGGCGTCTTGGGGGCTTCTTGGCGGCCCTGGAGGCCTCTTGGAGCGTCTTGTGTGCCTCGATGGGGGGCTTTGGGGGTCTCTTGAAAGCCTCTTGGGGGCATCTTGGAGGCATCTTCGGAGCATCTTTGTAGCCTCTTGGGGCCTCCTGGGCACCTCTTGGGCCCTCTTGGAGCACTCTCGGGAGCCTCGGGGGCCATCCTGGGGCCATCTTGGAGGGTATCGTCGATCGCAAAAGTAAGTGGTGCCAAATAGCGCCCCCCCCCCCCCCCCAGGAGGCCAAAATGGGCCCAAAACCTGAGGCAATGATGTGTGCTCTTGTAGTCGAAGCCGTCTTGGACGCTCCCACGCCTCGCGGAACGCCCCGTCCAGGTCCACGGGGAGTGGGTAGGGGGAGGGGCACGACACCCTCCTAGATAGCAAGCCGTCTAGCTCACTCCCACCCGCCCTCCCAACACAGAAGAAACACCCGGACATCAGCATGTTCAGCGGTCGTCTTTGGATGGGCAGCTATTGGGAAGCTGAACAGACCCCATGTGCGCAACGCTGGGTCGAGGTGCGCCAGGCGTGCCAGGCGCGCCATGCGCGCCAGGTGCGCCAGGCACCCCCGTGGCCCCCCAAGTGTGCCGGGCACGCTTGGTGCGCCAGATGCGCCACGTGACCCACGAGTCGAGTGCCATGTGTGCCGCATGCTCCAGCCGCGCCAGGTGCGCCACGTTCAGGGCACGCGCAGAGTGTGCCAGGTGCGCCTGCGCACGTGGCAGTACACATCGGAAAACGTGTCGGCCCCCACCACACTTGTCGAAAACCAATGCGCAATCGCAGCGGGGTGGCCATCATAGCGTCTGGTTGGCTTGCACATAGCAGGCAACATGCCAGCACCCCCGCCGTCCCAGTCAAAAAACAATGCACAGTGTTCGTTTGTTGAAAGAGATGCCGGGTCTGCGCACAGCAGACAATATGCTGGACCCCCCGCCGACCTTGACAAAAAAACAATACAACGTGCTCGCGCCCCCCCTCCCCGATCATGACCCAAGATTTCGTCCTAAGTTGATTTTTCATGTTTTTGTTGATAGGAATGGTGAGGGTGGGTGCCCTCATTGGTCCTAGTTGGCTGCCGGTCGCCTGGGGGAGGGGGTGTTTAGGGGGAAAGGGGGGGTGGAAGAGGAAGCGCTCAACATCTCACGCACTGAAGGGCTGGTCGGATTAAGTCACACGAGAGGGCGATCGCGTGATTTTGTTCTGACTCCTCTTGAGCCGCTCTCGGAACCCTCTCGGGGCCCTCCGAGACGACGCTGGAAGGTTTTCGAAGAGCCACAGAGGGGCTCAAGACGGGCCCAAGAGAGCTCCAAGAGAGCTCCAAGAGAGGCCCAGGAGGGTCCAGGGGGTGAACATACACCACTGGCGCTTTCCTGGGCCACTCTTGGACCCCTCCTGGGGCCCTCTTGGCCGCTCGGGGCTATCCATGCAGCTTCGGAAGGCCCAAGAGGTTTCCGAAGTGGGGCCCGAGATGACCTGAGGGGTGCATATTTACACACATATTTCTACCGGGGTACAGGGTCGGGGCCCTTCTCCCAGCTGCCTTTGGCCGCCATGGGTACCCCAGGCTCCCCTGGGACCCTCTCCACTGGCCCGAGAGCCGCCCAGACGGCCTCAAGTGGCGTCGAAGAGATACCACAAGGCTTCCAGATGTCCCGCGTGGCTTCCGGACTGTCCCAGATAGTTTCAAGACGGCCCAAGAGAACCCGACGAGCGCTCCCCAGAGGGCCCCACGAGGCAAAGCCCATCGATGTTTCGTTGGTTTGCCCATGCGTTTTGGGTTCTCGACTTTCGTGCTTCCGGCGCTCCACGACGTCCCAAGAGGCCCCAAGACCGCCCCAAGACGGCCCAAGAGGTCCCCAAGAGAGCCCCAAGGCGACCCAAGAGGGTCCCAAGACGGACGCAGGAGGGGCCCACGACGGCCTGAGAGGGCTTCAATACGGCCTCAAGAAGGGCCCCAGAGTATGAGCCCGAAACGACAAGTCGAGCTTTCCGTCCCAAGATGCCCCCAGACGGCTCACGAGGACGCGACGAGCGCTCCCCAGAAGGCCTGAAGAGGCAAAAACCATTGATTGTTCATAGGTTTTAATTTTTTGTCGGTGTTCTCGACTTTTCTGGCTTCCGGCGCTACACGACGTCTCAAGAGGCCCCAATGACCGCCCCAAGATGGGCCAAGAGGCCCCCAAGAGTGCCCAGAGACGGCCCAAGGGGGCCCCAAAACGGCTCCAGAGTCGCCCGATTCGCCCCAAGAGGGTCCCAAGAGGGGCCCGAGTGCAGGAGCCCGAAGCGATCATTCGAGCTTTCCGTGCCAAGATATCCCCAGACGGCCCACGACGTCCCAAGAAGCCCCCAAGACCGTCCCAAGACTGCCCAAGAAGCCCCCGAAAGGACCCCAAGAGGACCCCAAGGGTCTTAGAGGCGCCCAAGACGGCCCAAGGCGGCCTCAAGACGGCCCCAAAAGGCCTTCACACTCAGTACAAATTGGCCACAAACCGTTTCCTCATCAAGGAGGGCGTTGTGGTAAATGTTTGATTGTTGGGGCTCTTGGGCCGCTCTTGGAGCTCCCTTGGCGCGCCTTCGGACCCTCCCAGGCCGTCCTCTAGAGCTCTCTTTGGGGCGTTTGGGAGTTTCAAGAGAGCACTAGGAGGCCCCCAAATTGAATACAAATGTCACACAAACCGCAGCCTCGTCAGGGACGGCGTTGTGTCAAATGTGTGTGTGTGTGTGTCAAATTGCTGACTCTCTTGGGGCGCTTCCGGAGCTCCCTTGGGGCCCCTTCGAGCCCTCCCAGGTCGTCGTGGAGAGCTCTCCTGGGAGCCTGCTAGGGTCCCAGGAGAGCTCCAAGAGGGCCTAATCTTTAACACACATTTAACACAACACCGTCCCTGACGAGGCAGCGGCTTGTGTTACATGTGTGTTCACTTTTCGGCCCGCTTGGAACCCTCCCGAGGCCCGCGCGAGCTCCCGAGGACGGCCTGAGAGGCCTCGAAGAAGTTTTGAGATGCAGCGCACATTTAACATAAACTGTTTCCTTGCAGAGGATGGGCTTGTGCTAAATTTGTATTGCTTTTTTTGTGTCTCTTGGGGCGCCCCTGGAGCTGGCTTGGGGGCCCCTCCGAGCCCTCCTGGTAGGACGGACCGCACCATGCGCCCAGAGCTCATCCAGGAGCATCCGACCGATGTTGCCAGAAACCTTTCCTGG